ATACATTTCTGCCATATGTACATTAACTGACAGTCACCACTGATAAGCTACCACTAAATATTGTAGAAACTTAATTGGCTGTAAAGTTGCTTTGCAATGATTTGTATGGTGAAAAGCGCTGTACAAATACACTTGACTTGACCATTTAGTGCCCAAACTGGAATAACCTACCTAACATTGTTCGGGAGTCAGACACACTCTTGCAGTTTCCACGGATGTCAGACTGATCACAGACTCCCCCCAAGGCAATGCGATGGAACTCTCGACCCAGAGTGCGAGCGATGGAACGCCCAACGCTGGTCTTTCCCACACCAGGGGGTCCCACAAAACACAGTATGGGTCCCTTAAGGGTGCTCTTGAGTTGCCGCACAGCCAGATACTCCAGCACCCTTCTCATCAGCTTCTCCATGGCATAGTGATCATTATCCAACAGCACCCGTGCCGCCCGGATGTCCAGGCAATCTGATTAGACAACAATGAAAGACACTACAGAGTTAAAATAATGCAGATACACACTACTGCTCAAAAGCTTGGGGTCAGTAAAATTAAATTTTTCAAAGAAATTAATACTTTTGTTTAGCAAAGATGCATTAAATTGATCAAAGGTGACAATAAACTAATTTTTAATGTTACAAAGGATTTCTATTTCAAATAAATGCTATTCTATTCAACTTTCTATTAATCAAAGAATCATGAAAAAATTATCATGTATCATGTATATTTACAATATTTATTTTCTATTCAAAATATATTTGAATAGAAAGCAGTTATAAATATAGCTGCAAGCAGCAATTTGGGGCCACGCACTGAAGGTGCAGCAAGCACTGCAACCACTGCAAGAACTACAAGCACAGCATGTACAGCAAGCATAACAATCAAAGCACATCACACTCAAAAGCTCTACAATGTGCATCTCAAAAGCACAATGCACTCTTAAGACTTTGTAAATAAATGCACTATATGTTATGTGCCACACTGGATTCGAACCCACAACCTGGCTCCACAACCTGGTTTGGGGCCTGTGGCTTAGCAGAGGCTGCCACTCAGTCGGCACCCTGGGCTGCTGAGGAGAGCTTTCAGTGAGAATGATCACACAAAAGCAGTACTTAGCATGCTGACCAGATTAGCATGCGAAGCTACATTATTATACTAACATTTTACCGTTAATCTGATAGCTGAAGAGTTACATTACATAGAATAGCAACTGATTAACATGTTAACAAATTACCACGCTAAGCTAACTAGCATAAAACAACAAACACAGGCACGGTCAACTTTGGAGAGGCATTTCTCAGGAACGGTAAGGAATATCAAAATTCTGCTCCGTCATTTCTACGTGGCTCAGTCCAAAGATCATCTGATCAACTGACTAATGTTAACAAGCAGTAGTAAATGTTGAAATTAACATTAGCTAAGATTAATAAATGCTGTAGAAGTATTGTTCATTCTTAGTTTATGTTAACTACAGTAGTTAACTAGCGTTAACTAATGAACCTCATTGTAAAGTGTTACCGGCGGAGTCTTAATGTAAGCTATTGAATGTGATCAGCATGAGGAGAGTAATCAGGTGACTAAGCTTCAAAGGTTAAAAAGTTATAACCTTTTGAAAAGTGAAATTTTAAGCTGGTGGTGGCGCTATAGAATTGGCCCTCGGGACACCAAATTTGGTCAGAGCACTATTAATGACCATCACTACAAGTGTGCCAAATTTCATCATTTTCCTACTTACGGTTCATAGAGCTACCATTGACTCCCAGTGGGGAGGAAGAACAATAAAAAGAAGAAAACTAACAATTACAATAATAATATAGGAATAATAAAGTAAACATACAAATGCAATAGGGGCTACAGCCCCTTCGGCCGGTATGTCAAATTGATTAAAAGATATCGCAATTTATGACAAAATTCAAAATGGCAGACAGGTGGTTCATCCGATCATCAGATGGTCTCCATGGATTCAGCATGACAAAAGGTATCCATCGACACCAAGATCATAATTTTCCGACAAACCGTTTAAAAGTATAGAGCAAAAATAGTCTTTTTCCGTATCTCATGACCCATAAGTGGCGCTTTTTCCAAATTAGGCATGTGTCCTCAGACCATGGTCTTGATGACACACAAGTAGTTTCGTGTCGATTGATCAAACTTTGGCCAAGATACAGTCTCTGAACCAATTTTTGGTCAACTTCCTTGAATTTGTGATGTCATGACTTTTGAACAAAAATTAATTTAAAAAATCTGTTCAGTCATTTCTGTGCAGCTCAGTCCAAAATTCATATGAGCCCATTTTTATAAGAATTGGACCAAATTTGAAGGAGGAGTAGCGAAAAATGGCTGCCACTGTAATGGGTGTAACATCTTACATCTTAATCATTTTCTTACATCTTACATCTTAATAATTTTCCTATGTTCCCTTCATAGGGATGCAATTGACTCCCATTTGTGAAGAATAATAATAAAGTAAACTGACGGTACAATAGGGGCTCAGACCCTAATGACATTTACAATAGGGGCTACAGCACCTTCGGTGCTTGGCCCCTAATGATAATATTTCGCAATTCTCCTTTTTTATTTAATTGAATTGATCAAATAAATACAGTCTTGATGAGCAAAATAAACTGCTTTCAAAAACATAAAAAAATAATTTACAGACCCTAAACATGTGAAATGTTAAAAATAAACAAGTTCAGTACAAGGGCTTAAAATACATAAATGATCAATTATTTGGTTATTTACTTTTCTTGTCATTAATTGATGATAAATTGACAATAAAATCCCTAAAATTATATAAGTAATATCACAGCACCATTGCTGCAGCCCTTGATTGCACGCATATTGTAAAAATTCTGTAAGGAATGCGAGTATTTTATCAAAGACATATGCATTTCCACTGCCTGATGTAATAAGATACAGACATAAATGCAGCTGTCTCATAAAGTAAACTTAAACTGGGCACAGAATTTTCTTTATGGTTCTCACAAATCATAGATTGTCTATTCTGCATTTACAGGAGAACATTCCTGTAAGGCCAGACCTCTCTATTCCCAGCGTTCATGCTCCGATCTAAACCACTAAATCAGTTTTCTTCTAATGCAGTTCCACCCTTGAGTGCTGACTGCTGAGCTTGAAAGACTGCGAAATGCACTTCATGTACATGAGACTTTCCCAGCAGAATTCCAGCCCCAAGGTCTGTTACACATCTAGCAAGGGAAATTAAGAGGTGTGTGTGTGTGTGTGTGTGTGTGTGTGTGTGCGCGCGCACACATTCAATCACATGCGCATGTTTGTTTGAGCCCTTCATGGATAGTCAGAGATCTCATTTCAAGGTAAGCTATAACCTTAGGATAGTAAGTAATGCATACACTTTTTTGAGTATGCCAGTAAGTAGTTAAAAATAGTTCCATTCCAGCACATGGAATAATTATAAAACACAGAACATGAACGAATATAATGGTATGTTTAATGCTTCTCAACATATGGCCAAACACTCTAGCTGTGCTTGGCAAGATAATTTGCTGTACTTGAGTTCTCAGAGTTCTCCATGTGGCCATGGAGAACATGACAAGAATAACACAAGTAAACAGCTCATATCACTCTCCAACCCTAGACTGAGAGCAATTCATTTCACAAAATGTGGTAAAAGACTCCCTCTACTGGTGGTTCCTTCAAAATGTTGTTGGATTAAATTAGTCATTTTATCTATTTAAATACACAAGTCAACTCAACTAAAAGCTAAATATTTAAACACATTTAACATTCTATTAAACGTTTTAAAAATAATTTATTATACATATACTGGTAACAATTACATAGGCCATTTAGAAATATACATTACCATTAAAAAGTTAGGGGATGGTAAGATTTTATGTTTTTATAAGAAGTCTCCCAGGCTCAGCAAGGCTGCATTTATTTGATCAAAAATACTGTAAACTGTAATACTGTGAAAATAATAGATTTCTATTTGAATATACTTTAAAATGTAATTTATTCCTGTGAGGGCAAAGCTGGATTTTCAGCAGCCATTACTTCAGTCTTCAGTCACATGAGCCTTCAGAAAACATTCTAATATACTGATTTGGTGCTCAAGAAACATTTCTTATTATTATCAAAGCTAAAAACAGTTGCTTGTGCTGCTTAATTTTTTTTTTTAAACCATAATTTTTTCCCGGAATATTTCAGCAATAGTAAGTTCAAAACAACAGCAAACTTAGCATTTTATAAAATATAAAATATAGTATAATATACTACTTTAAGGTTTGACATAAATATTTGTACTAATTAATAAGTGACCAACGTTATTTGTAAAATTAATTCCTGTAACATGAGGATGCATGTATAAATAATTTCAATTACATACAAAAAAATAAAATTAGTTAATTTTCATTTGTTTTATTTTATTTTGCTTTCTTACCTGTAGAGCTTTTGCTCCAGGGAAGCTCTACCATCATCTCCAGGTAGTTGAGGGTGAGCGCATATTCTGGCATGGACTGTGGCATCTTTTTTAATCTGTGGCCAAAAAAACAAAACAAAACAAAACAAAAAAAACTTTCTCTAAGATGTTGGGTAAATAAGGACGAAATCCTGGGAGAACCCATTTTGTCAGGGGGAGTCATTAATGTGTTATTAATTAAAATAATGCAAAGATAATGACTTAATTAATTGTAATACATTTCAAAACAACAGTACAGATGTGGGCATTTGTCAGTGAAAAGTCCCATGTTGTCTAGCATGTAGCTAACTATGAAATGTGGTTTCCTCTAAAAAATTACCAGAACGTACCGTTTTAGCTCCTTGAGACACACGCGCAGTGCTGCTTCCGGCATAGCCGCCATTTTGCTCCAGGGAAGCTCTACCATCATCTCCAGGTAGTTGAGGGTGAGCGCATATTCTGGCATGGACTGTGGCATCTTTTTTAATCTGTGGCCAAAAAAACAAAACAAAACAAAACAAAAAAAACTTTCTCTAAGATGTTGGGTAAATAAGGACGAAATCCTGGGAGAACCCATTTTGTCAGGGGGAGTCATTAATGTGTTATTAATTAAAATAATGCAAAGATAATGACTTAATTAATTGTAATACATTTCAAAACAACAGTACAGATGTGGGCATTTGTCAGTGAAAAGTCCCATGTTGTCTAGCATGTAGCTAACTATGAAATGTGGTTTCCTCTAAAAAAATTACCAGAACGTACCGTTTTAGCTCCTTGAGACACACGCGCAGTGCTGCTTCCGGCATAGCCGCCGCCTTCACTTTCTTCTCCAGCATAGCTGTGTCATCACTATCTTCGTCCTCCCCCTCCTCATCCAGTGAGAACTGACGGCCTGGGAATACACCACCTTTACGGATGGCCAACACCTAGGAGAAAGAAGAAGGACTGTGTAATAGAACAGGAAGTGTGGAGGAGGGTGTTGTGAGACAGAGGAGAAAGAGATGTTGGCCTACTCTCTTGTCATCATCAGGTCTGAGTTTCCGGGTCTTTTGCAGCAATTTGAGCCCCTCAATTTGTCTGGTGAGTAGGGGAAGAGCCTTCTTAAACCGTTCCTCCAAGTCTACCGCATCCAGCACCTGACAACAAACAAAAATATTATAATAAATGCATATTTAGTTTGGATAGCGTGGTGTATGATCACACTAGGCAAATCATTTATCTTGAAGAATAATCCTTTTTACTGCTGCACCTGCAGTTTCTCTTTGTTGGAAGTGCGGATCATGGAGGCCAGGACATCCGGCAGGGTTTCTTTAGGGAGACTGTCCAACAACCACCTGAGTTTAGCCACCACAGGTACTGACATGTCCAACATCCCAACCAGCTGGACAAAGAGAGACCAGAGGATACTGTCAATAAACTGAATGAAAAGCCTACATGCAATGAATCATCCTGTAGCATTTGGAAAAGAATGAAGCCTTTATTCATTCAGTGTTTAAATGCTGACTCACTGTATAGATGACTGGTGCCAACTGGGAAAAAAATAAATAAATAAATAAATCACATTCATCTTTTCTTCAGTCATGAAAAAAGTATGTCCTTGATTATAACTATTGATTATTGTTAACATCTCTGAGCAATATCTTTTTTTGAAAAAGAACCGTTTTATTTAAATTGTAGGCCATGACACAATAAATTTATCAGATTATTAAGTTAGTTATCATTGCTGTCAAAACAAAAGAAGTGTTTGGTAAAAGTAGGCCAGTGACCTGATTGGTTACTGGAGTTCTTTATTTATTCATTTATTATTTATGTATTTAGACATTTATGTTACAAAAGATTTCTATACCAAATTAATGTTGTTCATTTGAGCTTTCTATTCATCAAAGAACCCCGAAAAAAAGTAACATGGGTTTCACAGAAATATTAAGCAGAACAACTGTTTCGTTCACTGGTAATAATAAGAAATATTTCTTGAGTACCAAATTTGCATATTAGAACAATTTCTGAAGGGTCATGTGACATTGAAGAATATAATAGCTGTTGAAAATGTAGCTTTGCCATCAAAGGAATAAATTAAAATTTAAAATATATTAAAATAGAAAACCATTATTTTAAATTGCAATACTATTTCACAATATTGCTGTTTTTACTGTATTTTTGATCAAATAAATGCAGGCTTGGTGAGCATAAAAAACATCTTGGAAAAATATTAAAAGGTCTTAATATTATATCATATCATATATCATATTATACACGTGTATCAAATGAATAATATCTGTGATTTCAGGATGCTGTGGCAACAGCCTGGAATTTTTATAGACTATTAACAGAATCATATAATAAACACAAATGGACATTCCTTTACTACTACTGACCTGTACAGCTGCCTGATAGAACCTCTGTGACAGCTCCCCAAGCTCTCCATCAGCCTGATCTCCCTCTGTGTGCTGCTCCAGTTTGTCTAGCTGTTCCACCTTTGCCACGGGGAAGGGTTTCTCTTTCAGCAGCTGGGTCACACGAAAGCGACACAACCCCGTAATGAGCAGAGTGTAGTGCGGTTTCGGCCAGTTGCTGCCCACAACCTGGACTGCCAGTCCTGCTGTGCCAATACTGAGAAGACAGAAGTATAAATAAAGTAATGAGGCCTGAGTTTTGTTTCCTACCAAATCTAATTTGTGATACCTGAGTAGGTTTTATGCCAACCATGACATCTAACAGAGGCACACACATACTGAACAGTCATTATAAATAATAACAATACCTATATTAATCAACATTATCTCGTTTCAATTTAAAATTCTTCTACACATTGAAATTATAGATTAAAGAAGTTAAAATGTGAATGAGTTAATGTACAGATATGTTCTGCATAGAGGGAATATATCTGCACATCCAGGATGAGTGAAGACACATGGTGCTGCATATTGGAAAAACTGGCTGTGTGTTAAAACCTAGTGAGCTGCCAACCAAGTCAGCACTGTTAGTAATCAAAATTAGGCTTAGAAATACTTTCATGATTTTTAAAATAATTTTCACTGTTTCCCACACATATGTTTTACTTGGGCAGGCCACCCAAGAATATTTGGAGAAACATTTTTGCTTTTATTATTTTTATCCTTGATAATTTTTTTTATCTGCCTGAAATAATGAAACCATCCGCGATCCATTAATTAGTGGAAAATCTCCCCTCACTCTACACATTTCATATCTGCTCATTCTGTGTGCGCTAGAACCGTTTACTCTCGCTGACATTCCCACGTGGCATTACTGGTATTTTGGTTACACAATAAATTGTATTTAATTTAATTTCCATTTAATTCATAGTAAACTATTGTAGTTTCTGGCTGGGATGCTTCCCCACAGGAAGAAAAGTCAAAGAAGATTATTTGACACATATTATTCAATATATAGATTTTACTAGTATCAGTCAAATCTGTGTTTCATTCACTATGACAAAGCAAGGAGAAATCAACCATTTAAATGCTGTAATTTTGCATAATTTACAATGCATAATATGAGTATGTAATTAAATGTAATAGTAGCCTATGTAATTAAAATGATTTTCAATAAATAAAACTATTGTTAAAAATCCCATATTATTTGTTATTTGTCACATGTAGTAGACCATTTTTGTGCCTTGGGTAATGGGAGGATTTTCCTCAGGCTACCACCACAAGTATAGCCTTTTTCAAACCTGTGGGAAGCTCTGAATTTTATATCAATTGCTGGGGAGGATTTCTAATTGTACGGTGGATTTGGCTTTCTAAATTGCCATGCAGAGCTTAAACAGAGAAATTTACATTTACTATTAACAAACATTTTACTTTTAACATTTCATTACATTTAAATTACTTTTCCAAGCTTGGATTATATATATATATATATATATATATCATAGGTATACCTCAACTATGAGAGACAAGATGAGAAAAAAAATCCAGAAAATCACCTTGTAGGATTTTTAAAGAATTAATTGGTAAATTCCTCGGTAAAATAAGTATTTGGTCACCTACAAACAAGCAAGATTTCTGGCTCTCACAGACCTGTAACTTCTTCTTTAAGAGGCTCCTCTGTCCTCCACTCGTTACCTGTATTAATGGCATCTGTTTGAACTTGTTATCAGTATAAAAGACACCGGTCCACAACCTCAAACAAAGGTAATATTATTACTTTACTTATTACTTTCTGGCAACAGTAATTAGTTACACTACTAGTTACATTACTTTTCCTTCACGCCCCACAGAAGTTGTAATTGTGTATCTTCCCCTTCCCCATAAAATTCTTCTAAAATGTTACTAACAATATATTTCTGCCTCATCATTTGACCAAAATCTACATTGAATCACAGTCAGATGTTTTTACAAACACTCAATGGGGATTGATAGTGACTTTTAAGTAAAGGTGTTGTATTAATTGTCATGTGGAGCTTGAAGCTAATGGTAGCTATAATTTCACTGTTACCCAAATATGATTATATTTCATTTAGTATTTTGTCAAAAGAAATCACATAAGTTCATAAGATTTTTAATTATAGTAATATAATTTATATGGGGATCAGAGGGATGTGGGTGGGCAAGCCATGTAATGCCAGATTAAAGTAATGCCACAACTTACACATCTGTGTTCAGATCACCTTTCTCCTGACTAAATCAGTGTAATGCCAATATTACACTGATTTTCCATATTCCAAGCTTTCCTGACCAGTGATGGGCAAGTTACTCTGAACATTTAATCAAATTACTGATTACTCCTTTTAAAAGTAATCACATTACTGTTCTGATTACTTTATTTCAAAAGTAATTAGTAATTAGTTACATTACTAGTTACGTTACTTTCCCCTCCATGAAATCTCAGCATACACGCTCCCGATAAATATTTGTTATGAAAGCATCAACATTCACAGAACACTGTTGTTTTGAACTAAAGCAGCGGCTGCTGCGTGCATGGGTTGGATGGCAGAATGACAGCAAAGAGCGCTACATTTATAATCTCTAAAAGACACCTCAGTTCATCGCAATCTCACAAATCTCTGTTATAACACAATAAGTATGCACAATGCATCTTTCATAATGTCTACAATTCGTGTGTTATAATGGAAGGATTCATAAGCACGCAAAATTCAGCACTGCATTGCTCAACGCTGCAAACACGTGTTATAGCCTGAATAGATACTCTGCATACGCCTGCACCTGTTAATCGTTTATTATTTTATGTTAGTTCATGTTGCTTTTGTGCAGTAGATGAATAACAATTTATTTGTTTTAGATATTTTATGTTTAGATATTTCTATTTTGCGGGAGTCCCGTAAAATTTTAACAAACTTGTGGCACCCTACAAAATTAATTTTGTCACAATATTTGAATTTCTAACTTCGATATGATAATTTGAAAAGTATAGATATTCGGTACAACAGGGAAGAACTGCAGAATATAATGTCATACAGATATTTTTAATATTATTAAAAAATTGTGTCCATCAATGGTGCCAATCAGTAGGCTAATTTCTAATGAAGAGACCAATTTATATGACAGATTTTAATGTAGGATTTTATACATATGTAAATATTATTTAATTACCATTATAACTAGCTATCTCACAAATTTTTGCTCACTCAGTGTTTTTTTTATTTTACAGTGGGGTAATTTTGGTGCAGTAGCACGAGATTGCTTGATTTCAAACTTTGAATTGAATAAAAAATGACAAGTAAGCAGTCATTAATAAAATAAGAACAAATAAAGAAATTAATAATGATAGCACAAATAAAAATGCTTCTTAGTTTTTCAGGTAGGTCTAACAGTAGGGTTAAAATATTTTACTTTTTTATTATTTTTTACCAATTATGCAAATAATGTTTAGTCCTAGAAAGCTATTATTATCAGAACACGCGAGCATAACATAGCGGTTAGCAGATCAGTGAATGAAAGGGCAGCATTACCAGAGTTGCCCATATACCACACCATGTTACAACACAGTAGGGCTATTGCAAACATAAACAATACTGTACTACATAGATGTTTCCTGTCGGCTCGATTTTTGAGTGGACTTTGCTGTTCCCGATGAGCATGAACAGTATACGAGTGGAGCTGAGCGGAGCACACACGCATAGAGCGGATAATACGCAGAGCGTCACACCACGTGAAAGTGAAACCTGAGCTCATTTTCGGCAGCCGGACTTTCTATCTCTAATTATTGGCGACATCAGAAATGGATATTATATAATAGATGCTTTTTTGAACATTTTAGCAATTTAAAAATATTAAAAATATATATTTTTTACACGGCAGCCCGGTTGGGAAACACTGCTCTAATCCACTGGCACTTGACTCGACAGTGCGTGAGCTACATCCTTTTTACCATCTCTAGATTAGAAATCACTGGATTCTGTCAGCAATGTAACGCGGCAGTAACGTATAGAGACCTCGGCTTGTAACTATACTCTAATTACTATTTTGAAAATTATAACGCGTTAAATTACGCCGTTACTAAAAAAGTAATCAAATTACAGTAACGCGTTACTAAGTAATGCGTTACTGCCCAACACTGTTCCTGATGCACTGGTGACTTCATGTGCCTGTGTGAGTCGTGAAAATGATAAAAAATAAATCTAGGAATTATTGGATTTCAAATCAGTAAGGGTTAAGTAACTAGCTGTTTTATGGATGGTAACTATATTATTACTGAAATCGTATTAGTAATTAGTTACACTACTAGTTACTGCAAAAAGTAATATTATTACAGTAACTAGTTACTGCCCAACATTGTACATTATAAACTCAACTTTACAATACAATAAAAGTTACGCATTGCATTGTGTTATAAAGTCATAAATGACTATCGGACCTCCTTCAAATGGGTTTCATAACGAAACATTTGCATCGCACTGGATCTGCAGCGGGTTTGACAGTCTCTGACTGCACAGACCCACCTATGTAAGGACGGGAGCTCATCGCTGTCGTGCTCGGGGTCTCTGGTGTTAGGAATAACCCCGATGATGGTGCTTTTTAGCGAGGTTCCCTTCAGCAGTCTGCTTTTGACTAACTGCATGTTTCTCGCAGTGTCGACGCTGATTCTCATGGTCGAGCCCGGTAACAGCACTCCATCATGAGTGCACAGCAAAGGCAGTCGGCTGGGGATTTGAATACCACTGTTTGATGACATTTGCAGGGCTTGGATAGACGTTTAAAGTGTAAAACTAGTAATCGCAGTGAACGAGGGTGCATTGTGTTATAAAGTCATAAATGACTATCGGACCTCCTTCAAATGGGTTTCATAACGAAACATTTGCATCGCACTGGATCTGCAGCGGGTTTGACAGTCTCTGACTGCACAGACCCACCTATGTAAGGACGGGAGCTCATCGCTGTCGTGCTCGGGGTCTCTGGTGTTAGGAATAACCCCGATGATGGTGCTTTTTAGCGAGGTTCCCTTCAGCAGTCTGCTTTTGACTAACTGCATGTTTCTCGCAGTGTCGACGCTGATTCTCATGGTCGAGCCCGGTAACAGCACTCCACCATGAGTGCACAGCAAAGGCAGTCGGCTGGGGATTTGAATACCACTGTTTGATGACATTTGCAGGGCTTGGATAGACGTTTAAAGTGTAAAACTAGTAATCGCAGTGAACGAGGGTCCGAGGAACGCCTTCATCGTATGACAAACTGGGACAAATGAAAACAGGCAGCTGGAACTACGGCAGGTGCAGTAGGACAATCTTGGTGTGTGCAGACGGAAACTCCTACTTTTTGTGAAACCACGCGGAATGCAGCCAAATGTACACGGTGTTCTCTCTCTTTGTAGTGTGTTTGCTTAAGTATATTTTGGGGACGCGTTCGCAAAATCAGGAAAGTACGGGGAAAATTTGAGGCGGTCGGGACAAAATCTTTATAGATGGTATAGTTTTCTCATGTTTAGTTTATATTTTTTTAAAGTTTTAATCTAATTTTAATAATTTATTTCAGCTTAATTACTTAAGATGTTTCCACTGATATAGTAAAGCCAGCAGGTACTGTATGTGTGTGAAAAGAAACCAAACCCATACCTTAAAACAAACGGTACATCTGAACACGTGGGGGTGATAGTGAGAGGTTTATTTTCCAAGCCATGTTACAACAGTTACCAGAACATTCTGTGGCAGGAGTCCAAATAAATAACCTAGATTAAAATCTGTGTATAAAACATATGCAAACCTGAAATCAAACCCTCTTTATCACCTTAAAGCTTTCTATAGGAATACTTTGGTGCAATCTTTCAACATTTAACCAGCAGTAAAGCACAAAGTAAGGCGCCTCTGGGTAAAAGCAACAATGCCGACTAGGCCAGCAGTCAGCACAACATTTGCATGCAAATGATATGTGTTCAAAAGGAGCTCCACGTTATTTATAGATCTTACCTAAATCTTACCAAGAACATTTACAACGTGGCAATGATAATATACTTTTTTTGGCATACATCAAGGACAAAATATGTATTTTCCTCAGAAATATTATGTCACAGTGGCAAAGCCTTTTTTGGGGGAATTACCAATTGTAAATGCTACAGTGAAGAGTCAAAGCTGCTCCCCTCCACAGAGCACACACACAGTGCATGCATGATCATTTATTAGCAAAATACCACATAAATATGCAAGTAGGCAAGCAGGCGGGTGGATGGAGGTATGAATGTTCTGAATGATGGACAGCAATATCTGCAGGGTCAGTAGAGTGTCTTCCAACTGGTGTGATGGCTGTTGCATTTTTCCATATGGGTAACACTCCATAACTCCATATGGGAGGCAGTCAGTGACTTCACTAGGTCAAGAGGCACACAAGCATGCTGCGTGTCACTACATAAACCAGGTAACACCCTTTTACACCTACACCAGCAACACCAAGACAAGATCAGATCTACTTAGATCTGCTGCTATGTAGTTTTCTTCCCTTTCCTCCAGTTGAGGACTTCACAATCTAGAAATTAACAAAGAGAAAGAGCGTAGATAAGTGGTCACATATTTTGATGTCACATCTAATGTTGAGTTGCTCATTAGAACATCTGGATGAAATTATTCAGATAACCCTCAAAAGAAAGGCTGCTATTTTTTTGCTCCTCATAAAAAAAATTAAAAAAATAATGCCTATGTTGACAAATTATTTTCATGTTCAGGGTTACCACCGTAACAGCATTTCACAACGAATTGGTAGAAGGCATAGACCAGGCATGTTCAGGCTAGTAACAACATGTGGGCTTTTTAAAGTACTTTACATCCTTCAGACAACCTCAATGCCTGAATCATGCTGCCATCTCATTCATCATGGAGGGGATAAGGACGTTGATTCTATCCCCTAGCATTTATTCTCATTCACAAAGGCTCATGGTCAACCACAGACTCGCATCAACAAACGGCAAAAGTTTCCATCTTTTTGCTACGGCGTGTGTGAGCTGGGTTGCGTGAGGTTATCAACAAACATTTGGAAGACTGGTGGAAGAACGCTTCTTGAGGTTGGACTCTAAAATTCCCCAAACCTTTCCAAGTTGTAGCAATCATTAGAAGGACCTCAACTGTCTTACCTCAAACTCTCAAAATACCAATGAGTAAGTACCATAAACCCCCCCCCCCCCCCAAAAAAACCCCCCCCTAAAAAAAAAAAATTTAAATTTTTT